CCTGGAGTAGATAGATAGGAGACTTGGTGGAATCCTATTTTCTTTTCATTAGCCCAGCGGTTCTCAACCTTCTGGCCCTTATGTTGTGACCCAACCATAAAAATATTTTCATTGCTACTTCATAACTGTAATGTTGCTACTGTTATGAATTGTAATGTAAATATCTGATATGCAGGATGGTCTTAGGCGACCCCTGTGAAAGAGTCTTTCGACCGCCAAAGGGGTTGCGACCCACAGGTTGAGAACCGCTGGTCTATACATTCTGTAGTAACCACGAAGGGCCAGCCTCTGGTCAGAGGAATAGAACACTGTTTTCCTCCTGCAGCTCGCTGGTGTGGACAGGCTGAGAGGCTCGACACAGACTGAAAAGACTTCACCTGGAGCAAAGGGTCACCTGGACTAGAAATTCTCTTGTGGATCAAACCCAGCACCTGGTGGCTCTGAACAAGTTATTATTTTCATCATAGAATGGGCATGGCTGCCCTGTCCCTGCTAAAGGCTGTTATGATGTTATGAAACATTGCTAATAGCACTCTGTAACCCTTTACACATGTCCCTTTCTACAATTGCAGGGTTTCAAATGTGGGCTTTTTGACAAATCATATCCACCCTGACTCAGACATTTGATGTATCTATACCTCGTACCAAGGAAAAACCTCTGGAGCCAGAGCCAGGACATGCAGGTCTATGTCTTGGTTTAGCCACACCCTTGCATCTGACCTTGGGCAAGCTACACCTTGATGACCCTCGGGCTCATCGTTTCTGAATCTCAGCCTTCCTATCTGTAAAATGGGAATAGCAAATACCTCCAAGCCACTCACAGAAAATGGTATGTATCAGGCCTCTGGGACCACAAAATGCTTCCTAGATGGAAGGCATTAAAGTGGCCTCCATCTTCACATTTCTCATCTCCATCCCCCTCGAAAGATGCTTGGTGAGTTTGAACTGTCATTCGGCCATCTCATTCAGCAGAAATGACTGGCCTCAGAGGGCTGGGCTTGGACAGCCCCGTCATCTGCTTGCCAAGCACGGGCAGGAGAGGGTTAACCAGGGGAGGAGCAACTCAAGCTGCCACCACAGAGGGGCCAGTGGAGTCCAGGGCTACAGCCTCCTGCCACAGCAGGCCCTGGAATGATGAAAACTTGTCAGGTTTCCTTTTGTTCTCTCTAACAACCATAAACACCTTTGAGGGGCTCTGTCTGCGTGAAGCTAAAAGAAAAACATCTGCCCACACCCAGGGATTCTCGCTACAAAGACAACCCCTTAGGAGGAACCTAAATGCTTTGTTTTCATTTGGCATCACAGGGGCCAAGCAGAAGATTTCTCCCTTTTCTTTGCCTTACAGGTTGGCAAGGGGGACACTGCAGCAGGATTAAAGAGAGGAGACAGAGAGAGCTTCCCCCACTCCTCCCCCTCTCCCGCTCCCCCGCTAGCTCTGAAATCACACACACTCAGATGCATTTGTGATATTTTCTGAATTCAGCCAGTGGGTTCAGTCCCACAGCGTCAGGGCCGTGCTCTCTCTAACTCCCCTTTCCTGGAACATTGCCCCCACCCCAGCCCAGGCCACTTGACCAAAGGTGGGAAGCTGAAGGCTGCGACCTTCTGGCCAGGTGAGCAGTCTGGAAATATCAGAGTAGCACAAAGGCCACATAACCAGGTTCTGAGTCTGTCTCCCATGAACAGCAGAGCTGGATGTCGGCCTGGAGGAGCCAGGTGGCCCAAAGCCACCGAGGGTAGAGGCGGCAGCCCTGTCTGAATACTCAGGTCTTCCTACCTGGAGGGGCAATGCCAATAGCTACACCTTGATAAGCAACATCTTCCTTGTATCTCCCAACACAGGAGCCTGAAAAAAACATGCACCCATTCTACTCGAAAGTCCCTGGGGGCAGTCAAGAGTGACTGTCATTTCCTTTGGTGGAAAGTGAGAGGGAAAGGAGACCCCTGAGGGAGCAGTTGGGAGCCTTTAAAGCCCTGGAAACAAGTCAAGATCCAGGCAGTCACTGTGTGTCCCTGAGCTGGACTTGCAGGAGGCAGAGGCTAGACAAGCCGATCTTTCCAGACCAACATGGCCTGCCTCTGAAAGGGTCAACACTGACAACCAACGCCTTGCTGGTTGCGGTAACTGCTGCTGGGACCGCCTCATGAAGGTCAGAGAACCACTGGGCACAAACCCACAACTGAGCCAAAACACCGGTCATATTGAGTGTTTGGCTCTCTGTAGGGAAAACAGCCACACGTGACGGAATTACAGATTTCTAGTCTGTTTTCTCGGCCACTTCAGGGGGAAAAACAAATCTGCACCCGAGCTGGACAAATCAGCAGCAAGGGCTTGCTCAGGTGGAGAGAACACTTGATTCTGGGCTTAAAAGTGATTTGAAACTACTTTCATTGAGTTAAAAAAAATTGGTAATTTGAAGTAATACCTTGAATGAGTTAACAGATGATAAATTAGAAAAAACAATGACACGGAGTTTAATGTTTTGACTGAGGCTTAAAAACAGAAGAATGGGTTTATTATTCAAATGTTGAAATCTTGTTTTTAAATCAATCAGGATTTTACGAGTTGCCTTGTTACTGTTTAATCTCCTAAAAGGGCAGAATTGCATGCATTCGAGTTGGCCTGCCTGCCCTTTGGTGTTTGGGTTGCTTTTGACCTTAGACATACCCTCTTCTGAAAGAACCCCATTCACTGGCCGAGCCCCACGCCAAAAGGGACGGCGCAGGGTACAGGCTTGGGGATCCCTGGGATTCCCTCTGAGGTACCTTCTTAGTCCCTTAGCCCCAGTCTTGCCTGCCTATCAGTCCTGATTCTCAAAGTGTGGTCTGTGGACCAGCAAGGTAGCATCACCTTCAAGTTTGGTGGCAATTCAGAATCATGGACCCCATCTCAGATCTTTAGGATTAGAATCTTTATTTGAACAAGAGACCCTAGTGACCTGCATGCACATTAGAGTCTGAGTCGCTGCTCTAAGCGATTCTCTACCCTGCAGCCAGGGTGGCATGTCTGAGCAGCGCCCTCTGCAGGAGGGCTATCTCTCCAGCTTCTCTCCTGGCTCTCTCTCCCCAAAGTGCTCTACTCCCAGTGGGGAAGGCTGAGTTCAAGCTCTGGCTCTGCCACCTACTAATCATATGATTCTAGGCAAGTCGTCTGATTTCTATGAGCCTTGGTTTACGCATCTGTGAAAGGGGCACAATCACTGTAATCACACAGGCCTGTTGTAAGAATCAAAGAGGTAATGGAGTGAGGGCTGGGACTCCCTCCAATCTTGTTTCTCCTTTTGCCCCCACACCCACGCACTCTTAGATAACCTGTTTATGTTAATATAGCACGAGCAAGCGAGTGTCACTAATTGGCACGAGGCTGCTTTTGTTTGAGGGTGTATATAAGCTGCCACTGACCAGCCAGTTGCTGGCTGCTTTGCTCATAATAAAGCATGCCCCACCTACCTACTGTCACTCATCTGTTCTTCCAATTTCCTGCACCCAGAGGGGTCAATTCCCTGGCTGAGGAACTTGCACCCAACACAATGGTTCACCCCCTAGGTCAGTGATGGCGAACCTATGACACGCGTGTCAGAGGTGACAGCAAACTCATTTTTTTGGTTGATTTTTCTTTGTTAAATGGCATTTAAATATATAAAACAAATATCAAAAATATAAGTCTTTGTTTTACTATGGTTACAAAGATCAAAAAATTTCTATATGTGACACGGCACCAGAGTTAAGTTAGGGTTTTTCAAAATGCTGACACGCTGAGCTCAAAAGGTTCGCCATCACTGGCCTAGGTTGTGCTTGTGAAGTACCTGGGAGCTTTAAGAACCACTGATTCCTGGATCCTTAGCCCCCACCCCCCACAAGGTGTTCATTTGATTGGTCTGGGATGTGGTCTAGGATTTGGGAGGTTTCCAGGTTTCCGTGGGGATTCTAATATGCAGCCTGGGTTGAGAGGCACCTCTCTCTGATGCTACAGGACGAGGACAAGCTCTAGAGAACTCCCTACTGGTTTACACACAGGGAATTCCATTTCTGCTCTCCACCCCAAAGGGAGCCAATGGAGAATGCTCACTTAAAAAGTAAAAGCCTCTGCTCCCCAAAGCAATAGAACCTCAAATGAACCCTAACCCAACAAATTGAGTCCTTGATTAATGGAAATAATTTTTTGTTCCTCTTTATGAAAACAAATGAAAGCAGTTCAGCCTCAGGAATTGAAAGGGTAACTTCCAGGGTCTGCCCTGGCCACCGTGGGTCCATCTCCCCTCCCCTCCTGTACCCCCTTGAGCACCCAGTGACACAAAGAACCCACAGATGCCCCATCTTTTATGCAAATCAACTTATATCCCAGTTACTAAAGACATAGAGCAGTGGTTCTCAACCTTCTGGCCCTTTAAATACAGTTCCTCATGTTGTGACCCAACCATAAAATTATTTTCGTTGCTACTTCATAACTGTAATGTTGCTACTGTTATGAATCGTAATGTAAATATCTGATATGCAGGATGGTCTTAGGCGACCCCTGTGAAAGATTGAGAACCGCTGACATAGAGGAATGGCGCGTTTTAAGAAGCAGTCTCAATATCGAAAATTAAAACAAAAAAAAAGAACACCCCCGGCCCCAGCCACGGTTATTTCAACTCATGGGGGATTCCAGGCCCCAGTGGGGATGTATTTTTTGGGGATTGTGCAGGACAACCAAACAGGCTCTGCCTACATAGACTAACGTCAGGAGTGGCACTGGGGAAGGCGGGGGACACCTTCATGGGCTCAGGTTCTCATGGGCAACACTTGCTTCATAAGTACCTGTGATCAGGGGCTTATTGATGCATGGATGTCGTGTAACTACATGGCGATAAAGCTTACCTTTGCTTTAATAGGAAATGACAGATGTGCACTTGGGAGAGGTAGAGATGGGTCAGAAACAGAGAGAGGGGGACAGAGACAGAGACAGACACACACACAGAGAATGGCATCTTGGGATCCTTGCAGGGGCAGCCACTTACCAGTTCCTTCCTGAGCCAGGCTAAGGCCTCGTCGATATTCTCAAAGCCTTCCAGCTTGCCCGTGGACCCGGTCCCGGCATCCTGGCTGGCACTGGCATTAGGTGGCGGGTGCTGTCTGGGCTCTCTCGGTGGCAGGGAGGGCTCTTCCTCCCCACACTCCCGCTGCTCAGCAGCTGGCCTGGGGAAGGGCCAGGCCTGCTCCTCCAGCCTCGCCTGCCATTCCAGGTAGGAGGGCCTGCGGGTCTCCAGCCTCAGTTTCTCAGTCAGGGCCTTCAGGCTCCGGAGGTGGTCGTCAGGAGGCGGGGCTGCTCCCGCCAGCACCTCTTCCCCCACCACCACTTCTTCCACCTGGATCTGGGGCACAGACATCCTAGAGCCTGCTGGGCGGTCGGACATGGGAGGTGGTGGAGGTGATGAGGGAGTCCTGGAGGCTGGGAAGGTTGGGGCCCACTCTGGAATGGTCTCACCCAGCTGGGGCCAAGGCTCCCGTGGGCATCGCTGGGGTGTGAGCAGCTCCTGGAGCCGAGAGGGACTAGGCAGGAGCGCACAGGGTGCCGTCCAGAGCAACGATAGAGCTTTGGGTTTAAGATTCTCTCCGGAGTCCCGTGGGCGCCGTGCTCCGCACAAGGCAGGAACAGACAGGCGTTAGCAGGAATCTTTGGGGCAGGTTTGCCAAGAAGATCTATCAGTCCCGGAGATGCAGGCGGATCAGAGATGGGCGGGGAAGCAGCTCCCTCCTTGTGGGGAAGGGCAGGTGGCGAGAAGCTGCTGGCCAGTCCAGGGAGGCCCTGAGGAAGGATGCGAACAATGTCAGCAAAGGCTGTGAGCAGGGCCTGCGCGCTCCTGGGCAGGGGACACTGACAGGTTCAGTGACAAGGCTGCTAATTGCAACTTCAGGACTAGACATGAGGACTAGACATACCTTAACCTGGTGCAGAGGAGTTCATAATAAGTCAATACTTTGTACAGGGTTTCACGATTTATGAAGTGACTGCGCCTCTGTTACTTCATCGTCCTTACTGCAAGTCGGTGATTCCTTGCTTTTGTCCCCATTTTACATGTGAGATACCTGAGTCTCTCAGGGGTTAAATGACTCACCAAAGAGCTCCCAGCAATTATCCAGGACAGGGGCAGGTGGTTGGATTCTGAGGGCTCAGGTCTCCGTAAGGGCAGCTGCCTGAGGGTCCCCAAGCAGCGCAGGTGTGCCTGGGGGCCAGGAACCACTGACCCCGCCCACCTCACCCACCACAGCACCTGTCCTCAGGCACCAGCTCCTCAAGGCCAGTTCTACAGCCACTCTCAGCTGCTTCCTCCCAAAACAACACCTACTTCACTCTTCCGAGGAGGAAGCAAATAGACCTGCAGCCCAGGAAGAGCCGTGAATTCAGGGTGACTCACCGTTCTGGGAAGATGGTTATCACGGTCCTGCCCATACAGCAGTGCCTCCTGGGCAAGGGCTCCAGCTCCCTCATCTGATTTGGCCTCCCCACCTCTGGGGAGAAGGTTGAGCCAAGGTGCTCGCCCCATAATATCAGGGCACAGGGTAGAGAAGTGGCCTGGAGTTAGACCTTGCCGCCCCCCCACCCCCATGTCCCTGCACCCACAGGCTCTATCAGAGCAGGACCATTTGACTCAGACTATGGAGGGAATTTCTTGGCTTTCGGGGTGTTTAAAAAATCTGTGCTGAAGCAAGCTGTGAAAAAGAATGAAGGGATATGGAACAACGTCCAAGACACAGCCTCCCTGGAAAACACAGGGCATTTGCAGCCTGGAGAGGGTGCCACCTTGGTGTGGAAGGTCGGGGAGGGCGGAGGAAGAGACTTTTATTGACTTGTAGGTGCCTTTTAAAAGGTCTCTGCAAGGAAAATAAAACTGGAACTGAGAGTGCGCTTGCTTGTCTGGGGTGAGGGGACTGGGCACTGGGTGATGGTGGGCAGGCATAGGACGAGGCAGAATTGGAGGGGAGCAAAATGAAAACACAGGCGGGGCCACTCAGGGAGGCGGTGCGGCTTCTCTCCCACACAGGCATGGAGGTGCTCAAGAAGAGCAGAGCTTGCTGTCCGTTCCAGGTGTTTGTACAATGCCCGCCTGTGCTGTAACCTGCCCAGAGGAAGACTGGCTGCCCTTTTCCCATGCTCTGCTGCCCCTGCTTTGGGGCACCCCTGAGGAACAAAGAGGACTATTCCACCCCAATTGATGGCAGAGAAACCTGGATCTCACCTCCAACCACGCAGGTGGGGAGCCCCTGAGGAATTTCCACAAATGGTGCATTGCCAGGCCGCACTCCTGGGGGTGGGAACTCAGTTAATCTGGAGTGGAACTCCGTGGATATTAAAGCTCCCCAAGGGGTCTGAGTGAGGCCGGGGTTCCTAGATAGAAACACCAGATGTGGAATCAGACTGCCTTCGCTGAGGGTGCTGTCAGGCTGGCTGAGCCTCCGTTTCCTTGCCTGTAAAATGGGGCCATAATACCAACCTCCTGGGTTTGGGGCATTGGCAGAACTAAGGTTGGTCCATGTACTCTGTAGGCTTAGGTGGGGTGTTCTCATGGGTGTCTTTCTGTGCAGTCACGTGGTCACACAGGCGTCTTTAGAATCTCTTCTAGTAAAGACCAATTAGTCACTTTCTGGGGCCACTCCCAGGCGCCGTCTACCTCTTTGCTGAGATGCCAGAATCTGTTTTGAGTGTGCCTTGGGGCAGCTTCACCCCAGAAAGGCTTCTTCCCACTGACACAGGAGCTCTGATTATTTCCAGCAATGCTTTTTGGAGAGGATCTAGTTGCAGGCAACCATGAGCAGATGAAACTAATGGGAAGTCTCACGTGTCCTCCGTCTCCCCCAGCTACACACCCACGGAAGACGGCAGGGCATCTATAGCGGAGGGAGAACCTGTTAGGGAAGGGTCTCCCTTTGGGGTGGGCGAGTTATGACTGGATGACTTTATGAGGCTGCCTCCTTGGGAAGGGGGAGGTTATGTTAATTATCAGTTTCTGAATCAATTCAGAGAAGGCCTGTGAAGACAACGTCAGGGCAACTTGGGGCATTAACAGGAGCACCAGCGCACTGTGAGTCAGCTAATGATGATCCTTCAATCCGCTGAGCCTTAGGGAGTGTGTAAAAGCACCCCTGTGCACACCACTGCTCCTCCCAGTAGCCCCGAGCAGCAGGAGGGATCACCCCATTTCACAGCTGGGAGGGCTGAAGGGCCCGCCCCTAGTCCCGGGCAGGTGGCAGGAGTAGGACTTAGGCACAGTCTTCAGACTCTAATCAGCCTCTTTCTACTCTAGAGGGTGTGGGCCTTCGGATCAGACTCCGGGGCAGCCAACTCTCTGATCGTGGCATATTGTGTTATGACCACGCTGCTTCTGCGTCCTCTTCTGAGAAGTGGGGGTCACCAGGACCGGCTATGGAATTTGCCCGACTCGGTGCAAAATGAGAATGCAGGGCTCCTTTTAAAAAGAACGAAGACTTTTTAAGATGGCAACAGCAGAGCGTTAACCCAGGCGCAGGGCCCTGCGGGACTGCCTAGGTCCCTCACTCATGAAGCAGACCCTGGGGTAATACCGTGGGCTTCATCCGTCATTGTGAGGATTAAAGTAGCAAATAGCGAGCCCTTAACCTGGTGAGTGGTATACTTCAAAAAAGTATACCTCTAAAGTGACACTTTAAAAAGTATTATTCTTAACCTTTACAATTTTATTAACCAATGTCACCCCAATAAATTTAATTTAAAAAATATTATCCTTAAGATGATAAGACCTATCCGTGCCACATCAGTCATAGCCCCAGAAGGCCCCTTCGGGCTGCCCTGAGCAGTCATCCTGGTGGCCCCTGACCTGAGCCCATCTCCGCACCCTTCCCTTCCTGGAAAGCCAACTGAGATGAAGTCGGTGGACCCCCCTCCCCCCTCCCCCCTCCCACCCGATTTTCAGGTCTCGATTGCATTTTCATCATGCCAGACGAGGTCTCCCATAGCGAGGAGGAAAAAGAGCCCAGTTTACAAAATCACCACAATATATCCACTCCCTTCCCTTCCTGCTCACATTTTACTAATAAACACCCCAGCTCATGGCCTGGGGCCCAGGTGACCCAGGTTTGACTGTGTTAGCCACGAGGTGAGAGCAAGGACTGGGGTGGGATGCAAGCCCCTGGAATCAGCCCTCTCCTCTTGACCTCAGTTTCCTAATCTGTGCACTGGCGCCCCCCTCCCCATCTGCCTCTCAAGGATGCTGTGAGAATTAGCTGGACTCACCTGTGAAAGCTCTGCAAACTGTAAAGAGCGGTACCCACCTGAGGATTATTACTATCATCACGGCACGTGTGGTGGACCAGGGACTCAGCCCTTTAGAAGGTGTGGTCACGTGCAGCCTGCAGGGACCAAGTCCTCGACTGCCTCCTATCGCCCCCAGCACTCCCGGGATTTGCTGAAACCGAATCTGTCCTCCTGGTCACTGAACCAGGGAACACTGCCTCTCTGGATGTCCCAGTGCCCCAGGGCCCAGGGGGGTTTCTCCCTCCCTCCCAGCTAGAATGTCGCCCATGCAGGCCAGGCCAGGCATGACTGAGTTGGACCCAGTCTGAGCTGCAGGAGAGGTGCCAGCCAGGTGCAGGGGGCAGAGGAGCGCTGGCCAGCTTCCTGGGCCGAAGGGCAGTGGGGGCTTCCACTTATCTGGACAAACCAGGAACTTCCAGGGTGTGGGCTCTGGAGGAGGGACCCTCTAATGCCTGGACAGTCAGGCTTTCTTTACGCCTAACCTAAGTCCTTCCTACACACTTTCTCTCACTCGGCTTTGCATATGCCAGAGCCTGAGAAGGAAAGCCAGGCCTGGGACCTGGGGAAGCCGGAAAAACAAGGTCAGACCATAGTCCCCCCAGGCCCAGGTGAGGCCCACCAGGCAGTCCACCCCACCCCCTGCAAGGGACCAGCCCCGGGGCATGTGGGCCTTTTTTGCAGTGGGGACATGCCTTTCTGCACGCAGCGGCTGCTGTTCAAGCAGGCTGCCTGGCTCGCTCCAGACCACGGTGGCTGTGGGAGGGAAGGGCTGTGCCAGCCATGAGCTAATTCCTCTGGCTGCCGGAGGAGCCATGTGGGTGCAGCTCAGTCACTCAGCCAACACCTCGCCTCATGATGACCTAATCTGTTCACTTGGACAACTTTCAAACCCACTTCCTAGATGGGCTCCGAGGGCAGGGAATGGTACAGGGGGCTGCTGGCCCATTTTCTGTCTCTGTCTGTCTCTCTCAGACCTGTTGCCCTGCCTACATTCTTCTGAGAAACTAGAAAGCTGCCCGCTCTCTGCTTGGACTTATGGGCCTGTGCCTGCTCCTTCCGGTCTTAGGTTCTTCGCTAGAACCGTTCCATTTCTTCCCCATAAAGGCCCACCTGTCCAGCACTCCCGTCCCACTGAATTCCACGCTCTCTCAGGCCCTGTGACTTTGTACCAGCTGTTCCCTCAGCCTGCAATGCCCTTCCCTTCCCTCTATGCCTCAGTTCTCGGGAATTTTCTCCTTCAGGAAGTTTTCCTTAACTTGCCCGAGCAGTGTGTGTAACAAGAGCACTTCAGAGAAACAATGATGTCATCACAACAATATTAGCTAATGCTTACTCAGAGCATACCACGCCAGGCATTGTTCTAAGAGCTTTACATGCACTAACACATTTAGTCCCCACAACAACCCTCTGGGGCAAGTATCATCATTGTCTCCATTGCACAGACGAGGAGACCGAGGCACGGAGCGACTGAATAGCTTGCCCATGGTCACAGAACTAAGTGGTGAAGCTGGGATTTG